CAGTGACTGCAGCAGCAGGGTGATGGAGCTGGTGCTTTCCCTTGATCAGTCTGGTCGCCTCCCACAAAGGGAGGCCAGACTGCAGCTGCCCTCTCCCCAAGGGGAGCAGGGAGCGGGCCTAAGCCATCAGTAGGACATCCCCTGAGGGCTCCCAGTCTTTGAGAGGGGGCAGGCTGGGCTGAGGGACCTCCCCCAGTGCACAAATTTCATGCACCGGGCCCTTAGTAAAGAATTATAAAATAAATAAAATAAAGTAAGTATGTAAGGAATAATGTGAAAGAAGCTGGGTGTCTAGAGGAGGGTCATCTTTAGCTCTCTTGCATGGATTTCAGGAACTTTGGGGTTTTGAAAAAAGGAAGCAAGTTATATGACCACTTTCTGGATTATGTTTTTAAGAACAATTTACTAAACTATAAAGCTGTAGAAAGCATTATACAAGTGAGAGGCAAAAAAACATACTCCCTACCTAAAGCCAATTTTGTCAATATACCATAAGCCTCTAGATAACTTACATATAGAAACCGGTGAAAACGACAAGTATTAAAAAAGGTAGAGGACATCTTAATTCATTTCTCTTCAAACAACATAATACGTAATGAAACTAAAGCAAATACTTTTTTTTAAGCCCTCAAAACTTAGATATTGATTTATTTATTTAACGTTATTGATATTATTGATGAAATAATTAAATATGGTTGCAATTCTTCAAATATGTCTCTGTGCTCCATAACATTCTAGAGAGGTGGTGGAGGCTTTATTAAAAGGTCTTAAAACAAATTTTCAGCTATAGAAATTTTATTTTAGGGCACTAATAGGAACAGAGCACCCAGACCGACCTTTGAGGAGACTTTAGTGTAGATGTCAGATTCTCAATGAGAACAACTATTTCAATGTCACTGAAGTAGTTGGCAAAAATTCAATTGCTACTTAAAAATTAAGTGAGTCATGTTTAACGGTGTTATTTTGACAGGACAGTTCTTTCTAGTCTCTGGTTTATACAACAATCTCTCAATTTCAGATTCTTAGGGAAGCCCAGCCAGTGTGGCTCAGTGGTTGAGTGTTGACCTATGAACCAGAGGTCAGGGTTCAATTCCTGGTCGGGCACATGCCTGGGTTGCAGGGGTTGCAAGTTCGATCCCCAGTGTGGGTATGCAGGAGGCAGCCAATCAACAATCCTCTCTCATCATTGATGTTTCTATCTCTCTCTCCCTGTCCCTTCCTCTCTGAAATCAATAAAAATATTTTTTAAAACAAGGTTCTTAGGGAAAACTGTTATATATCAGGCACTTTGCCCAAGACAAAAGAACTTAAGACACAGTCCAAAAGGAGATCACATTTTCATTGGGGAGGTTAAGGATAAAGGCATGCAGAACTAAACAGCATATAGTAGACTATAGTGCAGGGGATAATATAGAGAGAGGTAATAATAAATTAACAAATGACTATCACAGTTAATGCAAGAAATTTAGGTTAACTAGGTATCCTAGAATGAGAGGGAAATGAATCCTTAATTGGCCAAAGGGAAGCTCAAGAATAGGGTTAGGAAACAGAAGATAAGGGCTTTTTACTTCGGACAGGGTGGAGGGTGGTGTGTGAGCGATAGGATTATATAGACAATTCAGTAACCTGGGGCAGGATCCAGATCTGGGGTGGGCTCCTTGATTGGGATAACTCTGTTAATTCTGGGCAAAAATATTTTCCCCTCAAAAATGTTTTAATATACTTAAAAAAAGATTTTTTTTTACAATTATGCTATCACTCTGTACACTGTAAAATAGGGCACTGTTTGTAGTAATCTAGTTTGGATCCATTTAAAAAAGACTCAAACATCCTTCCATTCCTACCTAAATTCAAAACAGCCCATTGTTTTTCTCCAAAGTGGGTTTCCTGGTGATGATGGCCACAGGTCTGCCCCTGGGACCCTGGCTGCTGGCCTTCCAGTTGCAGCCTCGCCAGGTTCACAGCCCTTCAGAGCCAAGGCAGGGGACCTGCAAGGAGGGGAGATTCGCGTCCGGAGCCAGGGCAGTGAGGCCACGCGCATCACATGAAGCTGTCAGTTCCTGGAGCAGATGCGCACGTGAACTGGGTACCCGCCTGGGACTGGCACCCGCGCAGCCACCGCCCAGCAGCCCATACTGACTGGACCCTGGAAAATAACGCGGAAGTTGGCGTGTCGCGGACCTCACCCTACCCTGGTGCGTTCTCCTACAACCACGTGCTGCGGGTTGGAGCACTCACATCCTCTAGCCTGCCACCCCCAGCCATTTCCGGACTCTTGAGACCAAAGTTCCAGCCAGCCAGACCTCTCCACCTGTTCCCAGGCACCTCATTCATCCTTTTGTATTTAAACGTGAGTCTCAATGATTTGTTTTCTAATGAATCATCAAAATTTCAAGATAACAGAGCTTTACATTGCTACCAAATAACAAATGTTTTCAGGTTTATTTTACTTAAATTAAATGTCCCATTTTTTTCTTTTTTTAAAATTAAATCTTTATTGTTCAGATTATTACAGTTGTTCCTCTT